TAATTTATCAAGCTTAGTAACTAAGTTTTATTTGGGTCTAAAAAAATATGAATTTTGGAGCTCACCTTACAGCTTGGAATCTAGCATGAAAAGAAAGAGTTTCCCATGTAAATACTTCGCAGAGACTGAGAAAACCATATTCTGAATTTTTGATTGGTTATACATATGTCATTGGGTGAAGTAGGCATACATAAGCATGTATTTTTAAAAATGTAAGAGGTGGGCAAGGCCACCTTGGTTGATTCAATAAATATATTAATATCTCAGAAAATAGAAAAGATAGGAGGTTCTAATCTTATATTCTAGTTTGGCAATATCGATAATATGAGTATTGAATTTGTAAAAAACTATAGACTTTGTATTTGGACATCAAAAACATCTAATTTCAACCAATGCTGCATTCAACATATCAAGTGACACACAAAAATCAATATTCAGGTATTTTATTAAAATATTTACTTTTAAATTAAGTAACAAACTAATGTATAATACCAAAATTTTAAATATAATCTACAATTTGATACCAAACTTATTGACATACATTCCTAAAATAGTAGTTCAATAAAATTTTGAAAGCACGTCTACAAATACATTAACATGGTCTTTGGCCTGTGACCAGTTAGAAGACCAGTGTCAGTAGGGTTAAAAGTTATAGTATGGAAACTATGATAGTAAATTTCTGGTTACAAGGTAAGTAGCATTGACCGACCCGGTATGGAAAGAGTTAATAAAAGTTTTGATGGATGTAACTTTTGAATGACCTTGATGATATTATCACAGATAGGCTCATAACATCTCATTCCAAACCAATAACAAGTATTTTTGTATACCTCTCTATTTCTGAGTTATTTGTCTGTAACCCAACATATATATATATATATATATATTTATTTAAAATTCTCACCTTCATATGTTGTGCCACACCATACACAATAAAAATGTATACTTCTGAGGTAAACAGTTAATATTTCCAGTTTTTCTGATGGCTATAGTAAAGAAGAAGACCATTATCAGTTTTTTTAAATGTTAATTTAAAGAAAATAGCACTTTCAATAAAAAAAGTTATTACTTAAAGTTTATACATTTGTTAAGCTAGTAATATTTTGCTGCCAAGTTCTTCAGATTAACATGCATTTTAAGAAAATTATTTTATCAGTGGAAATATCTGTAATACATCTGAACAACCTAATCCTGTTACAGTCTAATCTGGTTCCTCAACTTAGTGGAACCAAACACTACACTTATATAGTGTACTCACATCTAATTCCACTTCTTCCTCCTTTTCAAAATTATCATCATCATCATCAGATTCACTCAAGTTGTTGTCATCAGCCACTTCACTGTATGGCCAGAACCATGGCTCATGTGGTACTTCAATATCCTGAAAGACAGTGGAGATTATAACTGTTTGTATAAATTTATGAACAGAAAAGAGCAAGCCACAGTTTTAGTTCTTTCTTTTCAGTACGAGTTGGAAAAACAGGCTATATAATTGCAGTTACCTTTTTTTTTGGGGGGGGGGGAGAGGGTATAAGCTGTTTGATGTTACATCAGCCACAATGTTTCTATAATCTTTTCTCAATCCCCTTTCAGACCTGACATGGGACAACAACAGTTTTTTGAAATGTTGTAAGAGATGGAATAATTGGTAGATTGATGCCAAAATTTTTATGAAAGAACTAAGCAGAACTTTTTTATCTAAAAGGACTAAGTAACTAAATTAATACAATCTATTTATTTATTAAGCAGATAATAGTTATACCTGTTGAAATGAAAGTCTTTCAACTTACTGTAACAGCAATATGTTCTAACAGTTGTACTGGCAATACTAATCACTCATGTTAAAGTTACCAACAATCCTATTAGGATCAATAATGTCAATAATTTGAAACATACAATAATATGATGACAAATTTATTTCCAATCTTCATAAAATATGTCTTTCTTTTAATGTACAGAAAATATTAGAACAAAACAAAGTTCAAGGAATAAGAGATGATATATTTATGTGTGTATCTCAATTTACTGGTGTCAAAACTATCAATAAACCACAAAGTATCCAAAGAGAAAAACATATTTTGAAAATTTTATTAAATGGGGGTTGAAGAAAAATCAGTATCTAATATATAGAAAAAAAAAGGAGCATCATTGTGACTCTAGAACTAATTTTCATCAACACACTTACTTTGCTCTTATCCAGTTGTTCACATGCTTTCTGGCTATTTCTCAAGTCAACAAAAAGGTTTTTCTGAGCCATTTTGTTCCTTGCATACTGTTGGAAGTCAGTTTTTGCATTTTCTGCTTCCTCTGCTTTTCTTTTAACCATAGCTAGATAGAAAGCTTGCTTTTTTTCAGCTTGAATTTTATCTTCTGCTTCTTTGCCAAGTCCAGTTCTATTTGCTTTAACTACCAAAGGTATTGGCTGTTGTATTCCAGTGTCTATTAACAGTAAGAAAATCAGTGTTTTCTATTCTTTTCAGAATACTGTTACATTTAACCTACATTTAGTCCACACAAGGAGTGCTTAAAAATAGATAAAGAACTTTAAACTTATTAGATATACCTGCTTTATTCAGTGTTTAACTATATCTTGCCCAGACGGGTGCAATCTTCTTAAAGGGCAAAATTTAAATAATTATAGAAAATTAACTTGTAGTCATTCTTCTATATATTAAAAGAAAAACTTCAGAGTTGAAATTTATTCAATAAAACGTTTTATTTATTAAATCTTATGCATCAAATTGATAAAAAAATTCAAAATTTGATAGTGAGTTGACTTCAGCTTACTTTGAATGAAATCATTAGTGTTTGTGAATTTACTGAAATTTTGCTGGGCATAATACCACATGGAGGAAAGTTATGATAGTTCTGGGCAAAATGCTGATTTGATCTTGTAACTTGAATACAACTGTAGTTGTTTTGATTCTTAACCAACAATTGTTTTTCAATATCTGTTGTTATGGTGTAGTGTAATTGCTTCGAGAAGTCAGGGGATAGTGATTTAAACACATTATGAACACTTTTCTCTTCAACTGTATAAGCCAATGTAGAGTTCAGTAGAGATTCAAGTAGATAATGGAACAGCATGATAAAATCTTGGCTTGGTTATATGTTGCTCCATAATTTAAAGTTCCACTTGTATTGTAATATTACAGTATGATAAGAAATGTTTTCATGGAACAAGATATAGTAGGCTTAGTTTAACCATTTTGTACTCGACTATACCAATTTTCTTTTCACCAACAAGTCAGCTGATTTAGGCCTTGTTTGATTAGGCTTTATCGACCAAATTAAAAAATATTATGTATTCAATGAAACCTTCCGAGTCAAAATTATTTAAAAAGTTGGCTAGCTTATAATTTTGGCATGGTCAAAGAAGTGAAACTGAATGTGATGTTTCTTGAATTGAAACAAAGATAAAATTCAAAGTTATAAAAATTAAAAGACTTTATAGAAACATTTTAAAAGGATGTAAGAAAAGATAAAAATCAATAATTAAAATCTAAAACATAGGTAAACATTTTTAACTATTTCTTAAAAAACATATTACAATGAAATCTTTTTGAAATTTCTAATCTGCAACTTGATACAAATGTAGAGAAAAAAAGATATTTCAACTGTAGAAGCTGCATGATCTGTATAACGTTCTGAAGTTTCAAACTATTTCATCCAGTTCTTTTTCAAAGTGCAATAAAACAAACATACAACAGGTATGTTGAATCCATATACCCAGTTCCCACAGAGTTAAGATTTCAGCACTCAAGAAGTGTTTTAACAAATAAAAACAGTAACCAAAAATATTGCAAACAAGCTAAGCTTACAATGTATAAAAATGTTGGATTCAAATTTATCACAAGTCATCAGACATTCAAAACTCATTTGACAAAAAGACAAAAACAATATATTTAAGCAACTCTTAATAACATAACTACATATACTTTCAGGAGTGATTACCTAAAGAAAAAAACTGGTTACAAGCAATACACAGGGTTCGTACACCTTAAGTGAGATGAAATTCCAGGACATTTCCAGGACAAATTGTTTTGTTACGCAGTGCTGACACGCTTGCTAAGCAAGCAGAGGACAGGGGAAGCTTAACCATGCTATCAAAATCTAACAGTCTTCGTCGCACTGCCCAAGAAAAGCAGGAGCTTCTCAAGGGTGTTTCCAAGGAGCTAGAGGATAAGTTACTCCTGATTAAAAATAACTAGAGGCTAATGTTAAAATGCTAGTGGCATTAATCTCGCAAAAAAATTTTGGTGAAGGTAATGGGCATCATCAAATAATTTTTGGTTACTTGAAAATCATTCTATTTAAAAGAACCCTTAATACCTCAATCACAAATTTCTTCACCATCCAATTGCTTCTTTGGTCCAATTCTGTGAGTCGGTAACTGGCATTCAATTATGACATCTCTGACAAATGCAAAACATCAAGTTTTGCATTGACTTTGATAGTAAATTTTGTTGCTCTTGAAAAGATGCACTCAAAATCTAGGCTCCCAATATTTAACATTTTCAACCATGTTCCAGGCAGTCAAGAAGTTTGTGTTTTTATTTTCTAAGTACCTGGAGACCAGACCAACTGCCTCAAATATAATGAGAAACACATGCACAGTCAAAATTATCTTTAAGTTGCAGAGAGTTTCAAGCAGTGATGAAGCTGCTAATTTGGTCTTTGTATCAAAATTACTAGAATGCTTAATGAACCGAACATGCTTTCTCATGAGCCCATCATCTGATTTTTTCATTTTTTTAATGAAAGTACACCTTTTCTTTTTACTTATGTTGCTTTTGTCATTTACATTACTCCAAACATTCATTCTTTTATAGGATTATGTAAGAAAACTTGCTCATCTGTTCAGTAAACCAAACAGGTTCATTAACTGAAGATTGTCACAAGCATCGTATATGCAAAGATTAAGCACATGACTTTGTCCTTTATAGTCTGACATATTTATGCTTGTAAACCAATAGATTCACTTCTCATGTTAGATGCTCCATTGAATGATTTGCCAACAATATTTTCATACTGAACTCTATGCTCAGAAAAACATTTTTACAAAAGTTCATGCAATTCACTACTGGAGGTAACTTTTATGGCAAGATGAGCAAACAGCTTATTTTTTATTTCTCCAACATAACCATATTGTAAAATAATAGTGGTTTGGTAAAAAAATCCAATATCCTGGGTGCTGCTAAAGAGTCGGTTGCATATCTTTTTCATGATGTGTTTTCTTACTGCTTTCAAAGTTGGATCAATCACCTTGTTTGTGGTTGGTTATGAAGCTTCCTATTTCACAAGCTGTTGACCCATATTTGCCAGAATCTCTTTTTTGCTCTTTGTGATTGCACTTTGAAGGTATTGGCTTAAAATAACATCATGTTGAGATAAAAGATGTATAATTTAACCCTATGGGTAGGAGTCTCATAGGGTATGTCATCACATTTGCAGCCTTAATTCAAAATTTTATTGAACTACTATTTTATGAATGTATGGCAATAAGTTTGGTATCACGTTATAATTCAGATTTTAGTATTATATCTTAGTTAATTTCTTAATTTAAAGTAAATATTAAAACAAAATTTCTAAATATAAATTTTTGTATGTCACGAGGTATGTTGAATGCAACTTTGTTCAAATTAGATGTGTTGAAGTCCAATTACAAAGTCTGTAGTTTCTTACAAAATAGAAACTCAAATTACCGATATTGACAAGCTAGAATATAAAATAAGAACCTTCTATCTTTTATATTTACTGAGATATCACATTATTTAGTGAATTAAATGCAGTGGCCCAGCCCACCTCTTCCGTTTTTGGAAATACTTGTTTACATACACCCATTCTGCTCTATCACATGTTTATAACCAATCAAAAGCTCAGAATTTCCCCCACATGGTTTTCTCAGCCTTTGCAAGGTGTCTGTTCCCCAGAAATAGCCCTTTCGTCTCAAAGCTCAAAGAGAAGGGGTAAGACAAAATGGTGATCAAAAATATTTGTTTAAACCCAAATACAGCTTAGTTAGTAAGCCTGATAAATTACAGTGGAATTCTGTCGTATTTATAATTTTTTTTATTTCAAAATGCATATATAAAACCTAAAAAAATATTTTTCTTTTAAAATCCCCCAATGTGCAAAATTAAAAAAGGCTTAGCATGCAAGGTATGGCAAGTGAGTACAAACTTCGTAATAATCATAAGTAGTAAAGATTAGTGTTTCCTGTACTTATCTATTTATCATTCTATGTTTTAAGAAAAATAACTGAAATATAATAATTTATTTGTATATAGTAATAATATATATACATATGTAATGTATTATAACCAAAATGTGATTGTATTTTACAAATTACTGGTCCATTAGAATGAAACTAAGATAGTTGCACTTTCTAAAGGCCAGTTTTAGGCTAATGGTTATGGTAACGTGAACTGCATGTGTGCCGCATGATTGCATCTTCTGTAATGTTAGTCAGACACAGTTGAAAGGTCAGTAAAATAAAAATAATAAATATTAATAGATTTAGGCTATTTAGAATAAAAATTTGTGGTTTTCCATAATAATCTGTAGTCATTCTAGACAAAAAAAGCATAATTTACATCTATTTCTTAATTTTTTATGGTGGTTATGAGGTCATTCAATTTGACCAAACCCAAACCGAGATAAGAGCAAGAAAATGACAGATAAGATATAAATTTTTTTTAAAAAACATTTGATAGTTATCTGGAGGTTATAAAGCCTGAAGCATTGATACAACTGAACTTGATATAATTTTTATATTATTTTATATATGTAGTTAACATTTGGTTCATTTTGCTAACATGGATTCATCAAAGAAAAATATTGTTTTACTAATCTATTATCTTTTTTTTGGATGAAGGAGAGAACTTTTTTCTTGGTGAACTTAGGTTTTTGTAAAGTTTTAGATAAGGTGGCATACAAAAGATTAGCTAAGAAAGTCACATTGATAAGGGTTGAGGGGAAAACCTAGTTAATTGGATTGTACAGTGGTTGAGAGAAAGTAATAAGTATTAAATTAATTAAATCTGATTTAGACTGTACCATTTTTAGTAGTGGAATGTCTCAGAGTTCAATGCTTGGGCCTTTTGCTTTTTTGTATTTATATTAATGATATTGGTACAGATATAGTTTGCTTAGGACATTAACTTTGGATATTTCTAGCTGTATTAAGGATGTTGAGATAGTACTGAATGGCTTGAATGAATTGTTTAGTTGAACAAATATTTGGCAAAGAATCCGCTATTATAGTCAGTGCAACAGGATGCATTTGGTTATCATAATTTGATCATACATTTAATGTATATTGGAACACAGTCAGCAACATGACTGAAGAAAAGGATCTTGGCATAGTAGTAGATAAGTTACTCAAGTCATCAAAGCAGTACTATGTTACAAGTACTATAGCTAATAAGATTTTGTGGTTTCTTTATAGATATGTTGATTACAAATCAAAAGGGGTAATTATTTCTGTATATAAATCTGTAGTCAGACCTCACTTGGAATACTGTGTGAAGTTTTCATCTCCTTATCTAATAAAATATATTTACTTATTGGAAAAGGCTCAGAGGAGTGCTACTAGAATGATTCCAGAGATGGAGTTATTATCTTCAGGGATAGAGATAGATTAAGGTTCTTATATTATTTTCTCGTGAGAGAAGAAGATAAGAGATGATCTTATTGAAACTTACAGAATTAACCAAGGATTGATAGGATAAAGGCCCCTGGTTTCTTTGTGGTATATTCTGAATATGATAAAATGAAAGAACATTAGAATTTGAGAAAATACGTTAGGCTCCATTTAAGACAATTTTATTTTTTCTGACATTGTGATTGACCTATGGAATACATTTGCTGTTGGCAGTAGTTGAGTCCAACACTTTACAAGAACTTAAGAAGAGAATTGATGATTTCCTTAAAAGGGGTGGGTTTAAATTTTTACTTTTCTGAAGAGTAAATGTACAAAATGTACAACCTTGAAGGACTAAATGCACCCTTTACCCTATAACAATGATGCCATTTTTAAAACCCTTTCTGTGCATATTACCGAATTATATTTAAAATTGAATTAAACCACTTTACTATCAATGTGTTTTAATGAAATTGTTATTATCAAGTATGTTATAGTTCAAAGTTGTACATTATCTTTGTTTTTATGCCTTTATTTCAAAAGAAACATTGAAAAGAATAATGCAATCTCTCACTTTTGTGAAGTATAGCTTGAAGCATAAAGGGAGAGTCTTGCACAGGTAAGTTTAGATGAGAATGTAGTTTACTGCTTTTGCTGAATGCAGTTGAAACAAGAAATAAATTTTGTCAATTCCTGACAGATGCCTCACCCACCTTCACATAGAGATTTAGAACTTACATATACTTTCAACACATACGTGTTTATAGTCATTACAAAGAGCTAATTTAAGCTTTAATCAGACAATGGTTATTTTGAAATTGGCACCAAGTTGTCTTCCTCGGGTAGATGTAACTGCTTGTACTATCATTGGCTGCTTTGTTCATGATAACACTTCAGTTGTTTCTTACCTAATTATGTTAGTTAGAGAGAGTTAAATTGTATTTAGGTTTTACTTTTATATTTTAGTTAATTATGCATTATTTCAGTTTTAAAATTCATATTGAAAGGTTGAATAATTTTTATAAAATAACCAAAGCTTCCCCTAACTGTGCAAGGCTTACATTACCAAGCATATATAAAAAGATTTTGCCGGAGGCTATGGTATTTCTGCCATTTATACCATTCTGTTGTCTGCACGTATCTGTTAATGTGTGTTGGCATAAATGGTAAGAAATAGGAAAGGAAAATAAAGTATAAGTGAAAAGGTAAAGACATAAAATTATGCATATGATCCAAGGAAGATATTTTAAGCTTACTCAGCTTTTATATTTTAAGCATTTCATTGCATTGTATGCTGATGATAATAACAAGTTAGTGAAATGATAGAGAAAATTGAAATTAAAATATAAACATTTACCTTAAAGAAATTTTTGATATTCATTTAAGAAGTTCTGGAGATATTGCAAATGAAATATGAAAACTTTAGGATAAAAAGATATTTTTTTACTTAACATGAAAATCACCTTGTAGATAAACTATTCAGAGACCAAGTGCAAATAACTACATTAAATAACGAATTTTTGGTAGAATTAATAGGAAAAAAAATCAAAATTAAATATTTTACTCTTCTTGAATTACATACTTTTATGAAAGTTCTCTTTAAGTTTTAAACAATCTTATCCACTGGTTTTATTGGAAAGAATTCAAAGAGAGTTATGTAACATCCTTCAGTCTGAAGCAAGTTGTAATTATCGAGTTAATATCCATATATTAAGAAATTCAATATAAATATTCAATACAATTTCTTTTGGGGGGGGATTATGTGGAATATCTTGGGTGCACTAAAATATTACTTAAAAGTTGTGCTTGATGGATATACTGCTCTAATGTTAATTTTCATTGTCTCTAACTTACATGATAATCATTTGATATATATGGTTGTTGACAGACATGAAAATGGATAAATATTTGGTAAGATAATTGAGAATGATAAAATGATAGCTTAAATGTCATTGGCGGTAAGGAGGATTACAAATCACTGGAAAAAAGTCGTAGAGCAGTTAGAATATACAAGAATGTATTTTTTTAAACATCACTATAAATTTACTTGTATTGTTACTGCTGACCATATTCCTAGGAAATTATTCTATCAAACATTATTACTGAGTTTCTAGTATTGTTACTGTTGGCTATATCCATAGAGAAGCATTCCTTCAAACATCGCTACTGATCTTATAGTATTGTTACTACTGACTGTAACCCTAGGGAAGCATTCCTTCAAACATAACTACTGATCTTATAGTGTTGTTATTACTGACTATAACCCTAGGGAAGCATTCCTTTAAACATCACTTCTGATTTTATAGTATTATTACTGTGGACTATATCCATAGGGAAGTGCTTCAAGCTAAGTTTCAGAGAAATAGCTTTGGCTAGTATTGTTCATAGCACTGATTGTTGACAGTAATATGAAAAATAAATGATTATTCACATCACAAAAAACAATTTCTTTTTTGTAGTTGAATTGACAGAAATTTTAGTTTTTTACCTCCCTAAATGTCAAAATCCCACGAGTTTTCCTGGATCCCGAATTGTCAGTATTAGTATGTCCAAGTAGAATACCATGCTATTACTGTAACTGTATTTAATCACCTGCACTGATGCACATTTAGTAGCCACTGATGATGTGGAAGCAGGTGGTTGGTTTTAGTTCTCTGTTTTAATTTGGACAGTGTTAACTAATGGTCTTAAATTGTATTTTGTCTGTTTTTTCCAAATGTTGTTTAATGAGAAAAACATTAAAGGAAAAACTGTGTATTTCAGTCACACCATGCTAAATTCAGGCCAGATATTGTAAACTGAATTTTCTGGAATTTTAAACAGTTAAAGTATTTAATAAAAACTAACTCTGTCATGCTTTGAAATACATAATATTTTCTAATGATCTGTTTTATGTTGTTTTGATGGTACTCATTTGATTTGAAATATTTCATCAGTTTTCAAATCTGATTTTATCCAATGCTAAAGAATTTTTTGATTTCACATAAATCCTACCACATGTATGTACTGTGATAGTGATGAGCTTTACTGTTAATATTTTTTGAATTTTCTAGAATCTTGGAATGTTTTCATCTTCAGTGTCACTTCCTGTTGTTCTTGGAAGATCTCTACCCTCAATTATGAGATACTAAATATAATTTATTTGCTTCAAATAGTTTCAAATTTATAAACATTTATTTTTTTATCAGATATTTTATATATTTTTTACTATTTATACATCTCATTGATGTTTATGATATGCTGTTGTAAGGTATATGAAGCTGTTTAACTGCATATGTTTTGAGATAAATATAAAAATCAATAGTTAAGCAGTAAATATACACTAAAAGCAACATTAACATTCACAAAATCAGATCTTTCAATTATTTAGTGAAACCTTTTTTTGTCTCTGTATTAAATTTTATGATTAGGTTAATAATAAATAGTTAAATATTATATATATTGGGCTTTAAAAAAGTGTATTAGTTTAAGCTCTTTAATGATAAGGGAAAGTTAAAATTCAAATTAAAAAAAGTTTTAAAATGAGATAAAGACCTGAACTACCACTGATGAGCATGGTCATTTTAAATTTTTATTTTAGCTACAGTTGGGATAATGATAACTGCTTCTCACAATCCTGAAGAGGACAATGGAGTAAAACTTGTTGACCCTATGGGGGAGATGTTAGAAGAAGAGTGGGAAAAACTGGCATCTCAGTTAGCTAATGTATCGTAAGTGTATTAGTAAACTACTTAGTGTTTCTGTGTAAAAGAATAATTCCTATAGTTTATTAGAATATCAGATTTTGTAAATATTAAACTATGTGTATCAACTTATGTTTCACTGTACCAGTAAAGATCAAGAACATGCAAGAATATTTTAAGTCTAATTGTTTTAAACTCCTGCCATTACAGCATGGCCAATAACAAATCAAAGACATGTTTGGTTTCTATAGAACAGTTATATACATGGATCCATAAATGTAACTTCTAGAATACTTTATGTTGTGTAATGTGCAATATGTTAATTGGTTAATGCTGCAGATCTTGAATATGCAGATTTTACAAGATTCTAAAACTCATTATTGTGAAAGTTGTGATTGCTGCACAAATGAAATTGTCTAAGGACAAACCCATGTATTAGAGTTCTACCTCAAAAGAACATGGCCCCTAAACGTGGATTCCTGTACATGGTGAGGGGACCTCCTAGGGAAGGTTCTATATTTTCAGTTACTTTCTCTGGGATCTAAACATCCACTCACGTGTTTGCCGTGCGTGGTGACCCCTGAAGGGGAGGAGAGGATCCTGGTGGTTGAGTGGTGTCTGGGGCACTGCAACACACCACTTTGGCCTTGAATTCCTGTAGACGAGTGGCCTTGTTTGACATTGTAGTGCGTCCCCTTGCAGGACTCTATGGTGGGTGGGGTCAGTGGGCACTGAATCTCTCTCTTTAATTATGGATCCCCCCATTCCAAATATAAAAAAATGTTAAAAATCTGCTAATTGGTAAACGACCACGCATAGAAGACTCTGAACAGCAGTCTTCATCACAAAGTACACCTGTACCTCTCTTTTTGATCCTGCATTCACTGTCCGATAAATCTTTAGGGCAAATGCAGGGTTCGTACGCGTCCTGGAATGTCATGGAAATCCTGGAAAAACGCGATTTTTTTTTTCCAGTACTGGAAAGTCCTGGAAAAAACGAAAATGTCCTGGAAAAAAATGTTGTTTTTTTAATTTCGGTTTTCTTGTTTTTACTTGGCGCGAACGAGCCTGACTGGTTCCCATTCATTATCCCCCGGCCTTTTCATTGTATTAGCCACATGTGTTGATGAAGAAAAAGTTACTAAACTCATAAATGTTAAGAAATGAGCCAACTGAATTTGCAAAAATATTTTGTGAACTGTCACGCAGTTTTCAGTCAAGAATTGAGAAGCTATATGAGAAGAAGATTATTTCAGGAACACTCTAATAGCAATTAAAAGTAAAGAAGAAACTGATGCAGAGTTTGAAGAAACTCAACAATCAGCGGAGTGTTATAGGAAAAGGAATTGCCATCAATGTTTAGTATGCTCTTACCAGCTACTATACAAAAAAAATGTTCAGCTGCATACACCAACTTGTATTTGATGTATAAAGTATCACTTATGCAAGTTTTGTGAACATGCTTACAGCAAACTGAAAATTATATAAAAAAATAGGTTTTGAGCTTCATTTGGATAATATTTATTAGAAACTTTCATTATAATGATAGATTGTGAGTTAATCAATCTAAAGTAATTTAATGGTGTTCTTGAATATGTTCAAAATGCTTACCCTTTAAAGAAATTCCACCTTTATGTTTAAATTTTACATCGACTTTCACTGTATAATTTGTGAAAAACAACATTTTCTCTGGAGACTAATATTTTGATTGTCCATTAAAATTTATGTATGCAATATGAACAGCTCCTCAGATGATCCAATAATACTGCCCACTGAACCAGCTGGTAACCAGTCAAGCCCTAATTATTGTGATTGCAGAGACTGCATCTTAGAGCAATGCCAAACAAGTATACATTTTTCTCGTCAAATTTTGTTTTTGATTGAATTTTATTTTTTTGCTCTTGGTATTTTGATTGCATAAGGCAACACAATTTACTGATATAACTATAAACTAGGTTTTCTATTTCATTGAATACAAAGAATATCTACATCTGTCTGCAAAAATAAGTAAGCCAAAATCTCCATACTATACCATTCATTAGTTTTGACCTCAGTACTCCAAGCAAACCCATTCGAAACATAACTGATTCAAGTAAAGAGCCCCTGAAAATACACAGCATTAAAAGAAAAGAATTATACTTGGAAACTTAAAAGTCTGATAAATTATTTTGATCAATATTCTTATATTTGAAGTATTTTTTATCACTTCACAACTGAAAACAATAAAAAAAGCAAGATTATGTTTCTGATCATTGAATAAGTCACTATACTTTTTATGAATTTTTATGTCTGTGTGACGGTAAATGTTTATAGCATGTCAAATTTCAAATTGTATGTATTTCACCAAATATACCATGCACTGATAGATATAACAAAAAAAATAACAATTATGCATTAATATGGTAAATACACCAGTTGTTTTCATTTATTTACTCTTATCTTGACTTTCTTTGGAATCATGCTTGCTTTGAAAAGAAAAGGCTATTCATACCAAAATTTACGAACATTTAACACAACATACAGAACTACTATTAAAAGCATACCGTATTTTTCGGTGTATAAGATGCACTTTTTTACCCCAAAATTTGATATCAAAATCTGTTTGCGTCCTATACACCAAAGGTATGAATAATATATATGTATATATAC